CCCCGCCGCCCTCTGCCCGCCGACCGACCACCCTGGGGCTCGGGATGTGCCTCTGCCAAAGTCTCCGGGCCGAGCCTCGGCTTCGAGGGCTCCCGGCTCTCAGGGCGCACAGCTCGGAGCACCGGGTCGCCTTCTCCAGAGCCCCTGCTCGCCACCTCCTGCGGACCCCGCACCCCCACTCCCCCTGGCCCGCGCAGCGCCGCCGTCCCCGCCACCGCACCCACCTTAGGCTGCGCCCCGGGCTTGGCTTGGGAGGGTCGCAGCGAGAGCAGCGTGAGCAGGAGGGCGCAGGCCAGCAGCCGGGAGAGGTGCATGGTGTCCGCGAGTCGAGGGCGCGGAGCGGCGGGCGGCGGGCCGGGCTGCGGGCGGGCGCTGGTCCCAGGGCTGCGCGACGCGGGCTAGGTGCGCTCTGAGCTCGCGGCTGCGCTCCCGCCTTTATAATCCAACCTGCCGCTGATGTCATCCGCCCGCCCACCCGGCTGCCCCGGCCAATGGCACGGGCCACACGGCCTCGCCGGGGCCAGGAGGGGGCCGCGGGGCTCCCTCTCCGCCGCCACCCGCGCCCGCACCCGCGCCCCAGGGACCCTGCCCCCGTGGGCTAGCCCCGGGCCGCGTGGCCCCGGCGTGGCCAGCCCTGTGCGCCTTGGCCGGCGCCTACACTCTCGCCTCGACACCCGCGCCCCGCGAGAGACCAGTGTAACCCCCCCGCCCTCCCCTTCTCCCCTCTCCTCCCGCCTTGCAGGTACCAGGGCAGGCTCAGAGGGGCTTGAGTCACTTGCCCAAAGCCCCACAAGTAGAAAGTTGGTGGAGCCCGGAATCCACCAGACTGCCTGGTTGCCAAACTTGTCCCTGGGCACCTGATGGGCGCGGGCGGGGTCTTTGGCGCCGCCTCTCGCTGGCTGCTCCAGGCGAAGCGACGCCGTGGGTGGGCAGGAGAGTGCCAGCCCGAGACCCCGCAGACTAGAGCGGGCTTTGCCCTGGTCCGCAGCGCAGTGCGCCAGTCCTCTGCGAGGCAAGGAGGGTGCAAATCTCTCTCTCTCTCTCTCCTGTGAGCAATGTACCATGCATGTCTGGCCTCTGTGCGACATGGCTGGAGGTCACCTTTGGGCTCTTGTCTATAGAGAGGCCACATGGTGACTGTCAGGACCCAACCACAGTTCCTTACAGCTCATGACTCCATGCTCCCAGGGTGCAAGGCCACTTGGGCCCCCTGGGGTCTCCCTGGTGGACTGCAGAACTGATTCCTGGTACTCCAAGGGAGATACGCTTATCTATCTATCGCCATACCGCTTCTGAGCAAGACTCAGGTAGGAGAGGGAAGAAAAATGCAGTTGTTGGAGCCTGATGGCAGTGCCCAGGTCTGAGGACCACTCATGGGACTCCAGGCCAGGGCTCACTTTATGAGGGAGAGGAAGCTTCTCATCACTGCCCCCTACCTCCGCCTCATGCTCAGCTCCTTGTACCCTGGATGGAAAACTCCAGACCCGGGTACTCTTGACCCCTCTGTTTAGCAGACAACACCCATGTGCATGGGCCCTTGGTTACAGATGCAGAGTCCCAGGTCTCCAGGGCGAGCCAAGCACCAACAGGACATCCCGGGTGGCTCCTGCAGCGTTGACCCATTACCTCCAGGTCGACTGTCCTGATCGCCTTCCCACCTTAACACCTGCGGGTGGCAGCACTTTTCGATTGGAGGAGAAAGGAAAGGGCCCTGTGGAGGAGAGGGAGGTTGAGGTGCAGCAACATCACCTCTCCAACTCCACTGACACCGGCCTAGAGGGCCCAGCCAGCCCACCGAATTGTCTCCTTTGCACTCATACCGAAAGCCAGAACACTGCCCGGGGCCTGCACCATCCTCGCCATCAGTTCTCAGGGTTGAACACAGTTGCAGCCATTGTGTCAATCCATCTTGTGATGGGCCTTCCCCTTCTTCCCTGCCCCTCCACTCTACCAAGCGTCCTGTCCTGCTCCAGGGACTGGTCTCTCCCTACAACATGTTCCACGTGTGTGAGACAAAGTCTCGCCCTCCTTACCGCTAAGGAGCCTCCTGGCTGTACTTCTTCCGAGGCAGACCTGTTTGTTCTTTTGGCAGTCCGTGGTCCTTTCTATAGTCTTCACTGGCATCCCCATTTAACTTCATCGATTCTTCTTCGGGTTCTCTTCTTGATTCAATGTCCAGCGTTCACAGGCATATGAGGCAATGGAGAATACCATGGCTTGGGTCAGGTGCAACTTAGTCCTCCATGTCACATCCTTGTTTTTCAACATTTTAAAGAGGTCTTGTGCAGCAGATTTGCCCAAAGCCATGCATTGTTTGATCCCTTGACTGCTGCTTCCATGAGCTTCAATGGTGGATCCAAGCAAGATAAAACCCTTGACCACTTCAACCTTTTCTCCACTTATCATGCTGTGACCTGTTGGTCCTGTGGTGAGGTGTTTGGTCTTCTTGACGTTGAGTTGCAATCCATACTGGAGGCTGCAAAACTTGACCTTCATTACCAAGCGCTTTAAGACCTCCTCATTTTCAACGTATGAGGTTGCATCATCTGCATATCCGAGGTTGTTAATAAGTCTTCCTCCAATCCGGATGCCACCTTGTTCTTCATGTCCTCCAGCATCCCTGGTTATTTGCTTACTGAGTTTCGAGGCCAGTTCAAACACCTGACCTAGTTCCAGAGCGGGAGGACCAGTACCCTGGACACCACCTTCCCTCCCAGGAAGAGGAATTACCTGTTGTACCCCCACTTCTGGCCCCTGGGCTGTGGCCATTGGTTACCTGGAGCTGGGACCCCTATGGCTAGCTAGGGAGCAGTTCCGCTTGGCTGGCCTGGG